TCGCAGCAGGACCTGAGCAGCCAATCCCACCTGGCGTGACGCTCCCCCATTGCCACAGGGTTATAGAGCGGCTCACCTCACCCCAGCGAGCTACCAGCGTTGACTGGCCCTGGCTATCCTCCTCATGCCACGGAAAGTGACGCCAACGGGATTTGAACCCAGCACCTACGTGGTGCCACTGAGGCATGACGAAACCTACTGAGCTAGCCGACGGGACCTTTTTCCCCCCGCCCCCCGCCCCCCCAATTTACCTGCAGATATCTTTTGCCTTTTCTCTTTTCGTAGCACTGCAAACAAAAGAAACAGAACATGTTAACGGAGGATCTGCCCCTCCCCCCCCCCCTCCCCCCTCCCCCCTCCCTTCCTCTTCCAAAAAAGAGAGGACGACTGTGGGCCGTGGGATGATGACGAGGATGATATAGATGATGACAAGGAGGAAGAGAAAGGTGTGAAAGAWCACAAAGATGAGGAGGGAGGAAAAAGAAAGGGAAAAAGTTCGAAACTGCGATCAAACGAAAAAAAAAAAAGAAAAAGAAAGATGAAATCACATCACCTTAGCTAGAGTCCCGCTCCTCCTCCTCTTTTTTTCCCGCCTGGTTTTGCAAGTCTGAATCTGACCCCCAGAACAACCTGGGGGAGAAGGGATCTGCCAAGTCTGAATCTGACACCGACAACAACCTGGGCGTTTTTTTTTGTTTTTGTTTTTTTAATAATTGGGTGGGATCCACCGGAGGGTGGCTACAGTCTTCCCCCGAATACAACGCACGGTCATTATAGCTGAATTTAGACTGATATATGTACCAAATTCAGCAATAATGACCGTACGTTGTATTCGGGGGAAGACTGTAGCCTATACCGTATGTTATTGAGTCCGTAAACTATTCCTTCCCCCCCCCCCCCCCCCCCACACACACACACACCAAAAAAAAAAAAAAGGGTCCGTAAATTATTCGGATTTTATGCCCCTCCTTTTTTTTAATCAAGGGAGATGCTAACCTTCTCGCGGCTGAACGAATACAACGTTTTTTTCTTTTTTGGTTTTCTTTTTTTTGGTTGAATTGAAAAAAAAAAGAAAAAAGAAAGCATATTGCCTTCTCCTCACATGGGGGGCAGCTGTATTTTACTACGCTTGACAGCAGAGATAGAGAGAGAGGGGCCCACTGAGGATTCTGGCCCACCTCCAGAGCCCATTCAGAGATCCGAGACACATCTTGAGCCAGCTAAGGGACCTGAGCCACTCCTGGAGCCTGCAGGGGAGGAAGAGTAGAGCAAAGCGCCTGCCAGAGAAAGGGAGAGAGACAGGGAAGAGAGGGCTGCTCAGGAGAGAGAGATCAAGATACACCTCAGGCTGCAGAACCTGAGAGATTTGGCAGCAAAGAGGCAACAAGGGGAGCAGCCAGTGGAGGTGAGGTGAAGGACAAGAGGGAAGGCTTTTAGAGGTTGCTGGAGGCTGAAGGCAAACCATCAGCAGGGCGTGAGGAGATGGGGGTTAAGTTGGTCTATACAGACCTGCTTAACCAGCGAAGGCTTCTTGAGAGAAGCTGTCCCGCAATCTCTCATCTGAGGCCTTTGCTGCTGCAAACCCTTCTCTCAAGAGCCTTTGCTGGTTAAGCAGGTCTGTATAGACCAACTTAACCCCCATCTCCTCACGCCCTGCTGATGGTTTGCCTTCAGCCTCCAGCAACCTCTCAAAGCCTTCCCTCTTGTCCTTCACCTCCACTGGCTGCTCACCTTGTTGCCTCTTTGCTGCCAACTCTCTCAGGTTCTGCAGCGTGAGATGTATCTTGATCTCTCTCTCCTGAGCAGTCCTCTCTTTGAGTATCAGATCGCTGCTGTAGAAGTAGGACAACATTTGTATTGGAAGATAGGTAACTTTGAAGTACATGCACAGGTTTTAATTACTTCATGGATTGTAATTGGACTCATTTTAGGACTTACTTTTTTAGCAACTCAAAATTTACAATTTATCTCGCCCTTTCTCTGGCAGGCGCTTTGCTCTACTCATCCTCCCCTGGAGGTCCCTTAGCTGGCTCAATATGCGTCTCAGATCTCTGAATGAGCTCTGGAGGTGGGCCAGAATCCTCAGTGGGTCTCTCTCTCTCCTATGTCTGATGTGGCTCGCGCCCCTCCAGCCTCCTCTCATGTCCATGTGACCGAGGCTCCCTCTTCTTGTTCTTCTACTGAGATCTGGGGCGCACCTCTCCTGCCACTGCTCGTCCCTGCAAGGGGCAAGTCAACCTGACCGGGACCTGACCGGGAATGCGCACCGCGTCGGATTCGATAGGAAGCGAAGATTGCAGGTAACAGCTACACTAAGGGAAGACTGCAGGTAATAGTTCCACTAAGCCCTAATATATACCACCTGAAACTAAGCTACACTAAAAGTTATGGGTTGAACCTATCCCCTTGGTGGGGCTAAGCCTATCTACTCTGCTCTGCGCTTTGCACTCGATAGGAAGCGAAGATTGCAGGTAACAGCTACAACTAAGGGAAGACTGCAGGTAATAGTTCCACTAAGCCCTAATATATACCTGTCTCTTATACACATCTAGATGTGTATAAGAGACAGGCCCTAATATATACCACGTGAAACTAAGCTACTCTAAAAGTTATGGGTTGAACCTATCCCCTTGGTGGGGCTAAGCCTATCTACTCTGCTCTGCGCGAGCACCTTACTCGATAGGAAGCGAAGATTGCAGGTAACAGCTACAACTAAGGGAAGACTGCAGGTAATAGTTCCACTAAGCCCTAATATATACCACGTGAAACTAAGCTACACTACAAGTTATGGGTTGAACCTGTCCCGTTGGTGGGGCTAAGCCTATCTACTACTCTGCTCTGCGCGAGCACCTTAAAGACCAACCAGGGGGGGCAAGCTGTCTCTCTCAGCTGGTGAACCCGAAACCTGCCGCAGGAGGACCTGGGGAGCCGATTGAAGGACGTGGGATTTGAACCCACGACTTCCTGAATGCCACTTCCGTGCTCTACCAACTGAGCTACAGTCTTCCCCCGAATACAACGTACGGTCATTATAGCTGAATTTAGACCGAAAGATACACCAAATTCAGCTATAATGACCGTACGTTGTATTCGGGGGAAGACTGTAGACCGCTGGCCCTTCCATTTTGGTCTTGTAAGGAAAAAGAAAGATGAAATTTTCGAGCAATCACGGCAGGGAAGTGGAGAGAGAGTGCTGTAAGCCAGCCCATCATGGGGCTGGGTGGTGTCAGCCTGTCAGGCATGTAACTTGTGTAGTAAACAGGTCATGAGTTCGACTCCTGATGGAATCACTAAGTAGATACAATAAGGCTAGGAGAGGCTACCCGCTTCAGAAAAGGAGAAAAGAGGGAGTTCTGTACGGTCAATTCAGTATTCCTGCAGAGTGATGGGGTAGGGTGGGTATTTATGGGAGTGCAATTCGTCTATAAAATCCACCTTCGTTGGGATCGCAACAGGACTAATGGGGATGGGGATTTATGGACGTGCCGTCCTTCGTGCATAGACCCCCTTCTTTCCTTGGGATCCCAACGGGTTGCAATACATTTGAATGGTGGAGTTGGCCAGTGGAGAAAGAAAGAGAGCTAAGGGAAGAAGGGAGAAGGGGGGGGGGGGGTGCTGCGTATTTGGCGGGGTTTAGGATCTGCACTCTCTTTTTTTTTTTTTTTTTTTTTTTTTATCAGTGTTTCTTGCACTGCGGGTCGAGTTTGCAGGGTTAGCTTGATGGTTCAAAACCCATGGTTGAGATCCAAGCCTTTTTGGTTGATGGTCTGAGTAGTCGATGGTTTAGATCTAAGTCTTGGTTCACACTCCAGAACCAGATGGTTTATAGTCCTGGTCTGGTCCAGAACTAAGTGGTTCATGGTCCAGGA